TGGGTCATTAGACCCCCAGAGGGTCACAGCCTACAGGATGAACCCCCACGAAAGGGTCATTAGACCCCCAGAGGGTCACAGCCTACAGGATGAACCCCTGTGAATGGGTCATTAGACCCCCAGAGGGTCACAGCCTACAGGATGAACCCCCATGAAAGGGTCATTAGACCCCCAGAGGGTCACAGCCTACAGGATGAACCCCTGTGAATGGGTCATTAGACCCCCAGAGGGTCACAGCCTACAGGATGGGAACTGATGACCTAGACTATGGGGATGATGCTTCAGCACCATAGATAGAGTAAGGCCACTTGTCTGCCCTGTCTACTCTGTCCTGTGGTTCTTATGTACCAACCTCCTCTTCATCAGCATCCCAGACAAATTGACTCCAGCTAAGTAAGGGAAGAAGGAGAGAGACTTTACAACACTACAGAGAATCACGTACCAATGCAGACATCTGGTTGATCCCCTCCGCAGCCCTGAGGGAATGTGTGACCAAGTACTGGGCAGGCTGTTTTCTAGAATGGGTGTTGTATAAAAATGGGAAATGTCCATGTCTGAGGCTCAGGGGGGACCACACTAAGAGCTTCAGGGGACGAGGGGTTCAGAGGATAGCTCGTGAGTTGGCATACTTCAGTCTCAGTTGTTCTGAGTACTTGAGCGAGAAGAGAGAGAGGAGTCCAGGTCCCACCTTTCCTGCTGAGTTTATGACTTCATATCCTCATTTGCCTCCCTGTTGCTGTGATAAAACATTGACCAGAATTAACTTACATTGATTTTAGCTTAGAGAGCACAGTCCATCGTTAAGGGAAGCTGTGGGAGAAACTTGAGGCAGGAACCACAGAGGAACTCTACATCCACAGTGGTACCATCCACAGGGAGCCGAGTCCTTCTATATCAGTCAACAATCAATAAGATCCAACATAGGCAGATGGGATCCAGGCAATTTCTCAGTTGAGGTTCCTTCTTCCTATGTTGCTTAGTTGGGGTTTCTATTGACTGTCCCCAGTGACACGTTTACTCCAACAAGACCACACCTCCCAATAGTGCCAGTCCCTATGAGCCTATGAGGCTATTTTCAGTCAAATGACCACAAATGTGTTACAAATTGACAACCTAGCTTGGCCATCATGCCGAAGGAGGGTAAACTGATAATCTGTTCACCATTGTTGCTTAAGTAGAAACTATCACATTTCTGTCCCAGATACTGCATTTCTTGTGGCACTATTACCTTTCAAGAAAATAGCATACACTGGAGCTAGAGAAACTGAAAGAGTTCTTAGTGTAATATGTTTAATATTTATACCCAATGACATATGGGGTGGGGGCTGAAATGAAAACGTGCTAGCTTAGTGAGGTAACTTTTTCTTACCTATGCACAAAATGTCTATTTACAAGCTTGATTCTACAACTAAACTGCTAGCTCTTTAGACATCTCTTTCTGTCTGTGTCATTCTACTGAGCTAGTCTGCCTTTCTCTTGAGCGCCTCTAAGCCCACGAGGGCTCCTTAGCTCTCTCTCTTTTCTAGAATTCTGTTTTATCTGTGTCCTGCCAGGTGCTTCTCAGTGATTCCTGTTAGTATTCTGTCTAAGCTCCACCTCCACAGTTACCTGACAATCTTCTCTGTCTACCAAGTCTCAGTACAATATTTCAGCCTCCCCTCTGTAACCTTGCTGTATTTTGTGAGACTCCCCTCTGTAACCTTGCTGTATTTTGGCTTGTGCTGTGTTTGTTTTGGTTTGTATGTTTTGAGCCTGGATCTGCTGTAACCAAGGCTGGGCTGAAACTCACTATGTAGCCAGCCAAAACTGACCTTAGACTTCTGATCCTCTCGCCTCCTATCCCTAAGTGCTGAGTCTGCAGGCACATACTACCACACACAATTTGTGTGGCACAGAAGATGGAACCTCAAACTCTGTGCATGTGAAACAAACACTTTACCAAACTAGCTACATGTTCAGTTCCCTTGATGGGTTTTAATAGGAAGAATGTTAATTTCCACCTGTTAGTGGCAATCTATAAAGTGTTTGTTGCAGTTTTACTCTTAATCCAGCTAACTCCTAAGTAATTGAGACTGGACTATTATATTGATTTATCAAGCTTTAAGGGCACAACAACTGAGCAGTATTTGACAAGGACATAGCCATGTCAAAATCCCAGTGATACTTGCATTTTAGTACTGATCTGCCTCTCTGGGCTCTAGATCTTTCTGCATGTCTCCTGGACTCTCTCCGAATGGTTAATCCCCATTTCCTCTCTCTGTCTCCTCCTCCCTGGCTGGGAAAATGTCCAGTCCTATTTTCTCCCCTGTTCAGTCATTGACTGATCAGCTTCTTTATTGACCAATCAGAGAATAATTGGGGAAGAATTTTTGCAACCAGATATAGGGGCACAGAAATCAACATTTGAACAGTACAAAGACAATCTTCACACACTGTAGAGTAACATTTTGCTGATTACATACCCCTCTATAGCAACTAGCCATCCAGTCTGTGCTACCTCCACTGAGTCTCTGGCTGTGAGATACTTCAGGGGCCTGAGAGCTGTCTCCTAATTAGACAATGGAGCTTTGGGAACAAGGCTCAGGTCACCATGCAGAAAGGGTGTACCTAGGACAAGCTGCTAAAGGAAGGAGGGATGCTTCCCAGTCTGTACCTTCCAGTCCCTCTTCTTCCTTATGCCCTAGAACCACCCCCATCTCCACCAATATCATCAGCCTCAGGGGAAGCTCTGGGGGCTCTGGATGGAGTGAATGCATTTTCACTGGGAAAAAAAAAGTCACTCAAAGACCAAGGTTAGTACAGAGGAGGAGAGGGGGTCAGGCCCTGAACTGGTGAATGTGGGAGAGGCTATCTTAGGTCTCAGTAGTAGATCTGTGTGGTGGGTGGCTGATACTCAAGGGCCAAAGGTCCCGACAGTGCCTGGGTCTGAAGCTCCTCCTCCCGAGACAGCCACTATCCTGGTCCTCACCCCTGCTTCCGCTGGGGCTTCCTCTAGGCCTTGCATCTCTTAGTTCCTCAAAGCATTGCCTGGAGAGACAGCTTCAGCTGGACATGCTGCTGTTTCTGCTGCTGCTCTGGGGGATAAAGGGTATGGAGGGTGAGATCCATGTCATAAAGGGTTACACCCTCAACGTGGAAAGGAAGATTGTGGTGCAGGAGGGCCTGTGTGTCCTTGTGCCCTGTAACTTCTCCTACCCCAAGGAGATGTGGACTGACTCAGATCCAATTCATGGATACTGGTTCCGGGAAGGAGCCAACAGAAAAACTGATTCCCTCGTGGCCACAAATAGCCAACGGAGGACAGCACAGAAAAAGGCCCAGGGTCGATTCTTCCTGCTTGGAGACCTGTGGATGAATGACTGCTCCCTGAACATCAACGAGATCAGAAAGGAGGATGAGGGGTCATACTTCTTTCGCCTGGAGAGGGGAAAGACAAAGTTTAATTATCTTTGGAACAAGATGACTCTGAATGTGACAGGTCAGACATGGTCTGAAAAGATGCCATGGGGGCGGGTACAGGGTCATGGGTGTCTCAGGGCAAGGCTGGGATAGGACTGTGTCTTGGGAGCACTTGGGTCTGAGCATCAGAGCTCAGGGGAGGAGCTGGATCAGAGCCAGGGCTTCCTCTAAAGCTGCACCTCACCCCATCCTGATGCTCCATTTCTCCCCTTTCCTCACCAGCCCTCACTAACACCCCCCATATTCTTCTCCCGGAGACACTTGAAGCTGGCCATCCGAGCAACCTGACCTGCTCTGTACCTTGGGACTGTAAAGGGAGTGCACACCCCATCTTCTCCTGGACTGGTACCTCTGTGTCATTTTTGAACACCAACACCACTGGTTCTCCAGTGTTAACCGTCATCCCCCAGCCCCAGGACCATGGCGCCAACCTCACCTGTCAGGTGACTCTGCCTGGAACTGGCCAGGTGACCACGAGAATGACTGTCCGCCTCAACGTGTCATGTGAGACTGAGCTGGGATGTCTGTTTTTCTAATGCAAAGTGGTCCCCAGGGTGGGGTCATGGTCTGGACATTAGGTCCTAAAACCCTGATAAGGGGGCTTGTCAGGGTGATGGCCCCCTGCCATACCCACCTAGGCAACTGCTGGGGACAGAGAGTGGTTGATGAGTTCACTGTGTCATCCTCTCTTAGATGCTCCAAAGAATCTGACAGTGACCATCTATCAAGGAGGTGACTCAGGTAGGTCCATCCTAAGTGGAAGATATAGAATCTCTTTAGCTCAGGCAGGCTTATTCTTCCTTACACTGGACTCACCTTGGAGACAGAGGCTCCTTGTTGGGGAACCACAGGATCAACTCCCCTGAAACTCGTAGGAGTTTGCACCTCTCAGTATCAACCCCTCACTTTCCACGATCTGAACGCCCCTCGACCACCACAGGTACAGGGTGACACACACACAGCAGAGCCACACCGTCCAGAACCGTCTCCCCATTTATGGATCTTCCTGCGTTCCCCCTGTAGCTGTGCTCTGAGTTCTTATGCAGAGAGACACGGCTACACGGTTAGGCACTCAGAACACATACAGTGCTCTGTTCTCAGAAGCCCTATAAGTGTCCAGTCTATAAGTGACCGGTGTCCTGTCCACGTAGGTTGTGAGCCTGGGCTTGTCCACCTGAGGTTCTGAGAGGAACCAGATGTCAGTCGCAGAGATTGTCTTTGCTCTCCATGACCACAGTACCCAGAACTGATGGATCTAATTCTCTGGGTTTCTAGTACCAACGGGCAGCAAGGCCATGGAGTTTCCTGTGTCACCAGCAGTGAATAGTCAATAGGTCTTGTATCTATGACAACAGTGTGTGTCTTTGAGTGATAAACCCCTAAATGCAGGGAATGTGGCTCAACTGATAGACTACTTGCCCAGCAGGCACAAAGCCCTGGGTTCCATCCCCAGGACCACATAAGCCGGGCACAGTAGTGTGCACCTGTACTTGGGAGGTGGAAGCAGGAGGATTAGAAGTTCAAGATCATACTTGCTACATCTTGAGTTTAAAGCCAGCCTGAGCGATATGAGACACTGCCTTCCATCCTCAATACCCTCTTCCCCCCTTCCCTGTCCCCCATCTCTGTCTGACTCTCTCTCATCATCAACTCCAAGTGTGTGCCTAGATCACATGTTCTCTTTAATTATGAGGCTTATAGTCAAGTAGTTCATACCGCGATGAGATGTTCGGTTCTTGCTGTGGTGGTGAGTGAAAGCCCGTGTTTCTCTATCCTTTGCTCCCTATTGGTGTGTCCGTGCCTGTGTATCAGTGCCCTGTCTGGTTCTACTTCACTTTTCTTAACCACATCACACTGACTCTGTCTCTTTATCTACAGTATCCACAATCCTGGAGAACGGCTCATCTGTTCCTATCTCTGAGGACCAGCCACTCCGTCTCATCTGTAGCACCGACAGCTATCCCCCAGCAAACCTAAGCTGGTCCTGGAATAACCTGACTCTGTGTCCATCAAAGTTGTCCAAACCAGGGCTCCTGGAGCTGTTTTCAGTGCATCTTAAGCACGGAGGAGTATACACCTGCCAAGCTCAGCATGCCCTGGGCTCCCAACACATTTCCCTGCACCTGTCTCCACAGAGTGAGTGGCTTGTGGGCCAGAGGCAGGTAGGCAGGGGAGGGCCACACCTGTCTCATCCTGGCAGTGTTCCCATTAACCCTCTTAGCTTCACGGGGGACCTCAGCTCCAAGTCTTGCTGAGCTGGGAGGCTCTAATGTTCTGGCCATCCAGAGCTTCCTACCGTGAGGAGGGTGTGGGTCAGGGAAGGGAGTTACTTCAAGACGCAGCAAATCCTACAGAGAGGGGCTGGGATTTAGATGGCTGAGCTTTGAGTACAAGGCCAGGAGGAAACGACATAAAATTCAAGGGGGAAACCGAACCAAAGAAAGACAGTGTAAAAACAAATGTGAAACAAGTCAGTAGTAACCTGTGTGGTGGCCCAGGTCCCATCCTGTCCCTTGGGGAATTCTAGGCAGGCACTTCACAGTTGACCTATATCCCCAGCCCTTGTTTTTATTTTTATTGTGAGTTAGATTCTCACCAAGTTTCCTAGGCAGACATTGAACTCAGTTTATTGCCCAGAAACCCCTTGAATTTGAGAGCCTCGCGCCTTTGCTTCAGAAGTAGCTGGAACAATGGGCATTCTTTATTACATCTGGCTGGGGTGAAGTATTCCTTTGCCTGTTGTGAATCTGGGATTGGAACCCGGGCCCTAATACATGCTGAGATACATTAATGATCCAATTTTAAAATGCAAAATAATTCTATGCTGAAAAAGATACCAAACTAAATCAAGACCAACTGCTGCCCAGCTTTTTAAGTCCCCTCTGCCTTCTCTTGTCCCTTTCACTCAGGACCCTGTCCTGATATCTAAGGTAGGGCTGAGAAAAGTGGAAAGTCCAGCTTCTTGCACTGGGCTAGTGGAGGAGGAGAGGTTTGTTTCTTAGCATTCTCTATCTACAGGCAGTGCGACGTTATCCGAAATGATGATGGGGACCCTTGTGGGTTCAGGTGTCACAGCCCTCCTTTCCTTGTCTTTCTGCATCATCCTCTTGGCGTGAGTATCAGCCTTGGTGGGGAAAGAGAACCCGGGGTGGTGAGGGACAAGCCTGCTACCTGACCCTGAGTCCAGGCCTCGGGGTGAGACCTAGGCGGGTGGGGAGCCTGAAGTCAGGGGAAGCTGTGGTCTAGGCAGATGGTGAGTGTGTAGAATTCTGGTGTGTTACAACCCTCAGCCTCCACTGTCCTAGATGGTGGGAGCCACTTTTCAACACAGGAGCCTCTGTGACAGGAGCACTGGCCACCCTTCACAGACTTAATTGCAAGCAGAGGGTGAGGGGAGTCTGACACTGCACCTCTTCCTGCTCATACTGAGAGGCTCCTTGGTGTCCTTACACACAGAGTAAGATCCTACAGGAGGAAACCAGCCAGGCCAACTGTGGTAGCTCTGCATCCCAATGCCCTCAAGGCCTCAGTTTCTCAGGTGAGTGACCGGTGTGACTGTGTTCAAGCCCAGGGTCCCTCTGCCTGGACTCCCCCTCTGAGATGGATCCAGGGTTGTTCTGCTGAGTGTGGTCCAAGTTGGGTGTCCTGCAAGAGGACCTCTCTAGTCCATTTCCCAACTCGATGTTTGCAGACAGTGTCCACACTGCTTGCTCTCTAGCTGGGCAGGGAGAAGGATTCATTATCTTCCTCTCCTTCTTCTTTTCTACCTCAAGTTCACAGGTTCTCATCCCATCTCCCTCTTAAGAACACAAAGCTGCAGGATCCTCTCTGCCTTTTGGCTCCTGCCATGACTGTGTGTGTGTGTGTGTGTGTGTGTGTGTGTGTGTGCGCAGGAGTGTGCATGCATGTAGATTCACATGTAAGAGGAGGCTTGGGACTGATGACTGGAATCATTCTCAGTGGCTCTTGACCTTGTTCATTGAGGCAAGGCCACTTAACCAAACCTAGAGACCACTGATTCTCACTAGCCAGGGACCCCCTACCTCTGCCTTCTAAAGTCAGAATTATGGGTGGGCCCCCACATCCAGCTGGCACTTACATCATTTCTGGAGATCCAAACACTGGCCCTCATGCTTCCACAGCAAACACTTTCCCACTGAGCCATTACCCCGGGTCCTTTCATCCACTTGTGAAATATTAAGTACTACAAAGACCAGGTGCCAGGGACCCATCTATGAAGAACTGTAGAAAACCTTGGACTCAGTCATGTCTTATTTTAGAGAGAGGTGGTTATCAAACCACTCTAACAAACAGTAATGACAAATAAAAGATAGAGATATTTATTGTGGGGGAAATGAAGGTATAGAAACTAGGAAATGCCCAGAAGATAGGCTGCATAGTTCATTTGTTTACTATTATCTGTCTGTCTACCTATCTATTTATCAATCATCTGTCTTCTATCATCTATCTATTATCTATCTATCTATCTATCTATCTGTCTGTCTGTCTATCTATCTATCTATCTATCTACCTCTCTATCTATCTATTCTCTAGATTTTGGTAGTCCCATGTAACATAAAATTCACTACTATTGCCCTTTTCACATATACAGTTGTGTAACAGATATCTAGGACTTTTCATCTTGAAAACCTAAAACTATTACATACCGAATAACAGCTTCCACTCCTTCCAGGCTTCCCTCCCCAAGCCCCTGACATCCACTCTTCTCTTCTTTTTCTTTGTTCTTCTTTTTCTTCTCCTCCTCATCCTCCTTCTTTTCTCTCTCCCTCTCTCTCCTTCCCCAATCACCCTCTCTCGCTGTGAGACTCTGACTTCTGCAGATACCTCCTATGTGAGACCATACTGTATTTTTCTTTTGTGACTGGTTCACTTCGTTTAACACGTCCTCAGGATCCATCCGTGTTGTAGCATACTACAAGATTTCTTGCCTTCTTAAAAGGTTGAGTCTGCTGTATGTACTGTACCATCCGTTCTTTAGCCATACTTCTGAGTTTCTTTTACCTGTTTACTGTGGTGATGTGCACATATATAAACGTAAAAAATCAAGATTATGTTTTCAATTACACACATACATGCACACACACACTGTTGGCTCATGTGGTTCTATTTTTCATTTTTTGAGAATCTGTCAACACTTGCTATTTTCTGTATTGTTTCTTATTATTTTAATAGTAGCTAATTAACCTGGTGAAAGTGACGTGTTATTTCTTTGTGGTTTTAATTTTCATTTTCTAGTAATAACAGTGAATATATTCCTGGAGGAGTATCTATTCCAGTTCTTTGTCTATTTTTCTGGTTGGGTTGTTTGTTGTTGAGGAATTCTAGATGTTCTTTAACTACCTCAGCTCTTAGTCCTTCATCTGATGTATGGCTTCTAAATATTTTCTGTAGGTTGAATGTGGTTTTGGTTAGTGATGAGGGAAACTACATTCTGCCATTTGATTATTCCGGGGAGAGGGAGGAGCAGGCCTGTCTATCTGTCTATCTATCTATCTGTCTGTCTGTCTGTCTGTCTGTCTATCTATCTATCTGTCTATCCTCTGCTCTAGATTTAGTAGTCCTCTCAGAAAGGGAAGACAGCAGGCAGTGAGTGGGAGAACAGCCATGAAGACTGTGTGAAGAGACAGGGGAAGGATGGGGCAGCACAGGAAGTGATTTTGAAGAAGTTGAATGTGTAAATCATTTCTGAGCAAACAGACCACTATGAGGAACAAGCTAACTGTAACTTCTAGGGGGGAAGGAACAATCTGTTACCTCTGTGGATGCCTCTGGATGCAACAGGAAGGAAACACTTTAGCAAGGGGAGGACAGAGACAGAGGAGGAGTCCTTTCTAATGGAAGGATTCTAGAAACGATGTGGAGGAAATGTGGCTGATGGATCGCTCATGAAGCCGAGATGAAGGGGATACATGTAGGCTGAGGGTAGGGTTTGAGTGACAGGAAATGAAGGATGATGAGGGAAAGAGTTTGGAAGCAGACTCGGAGGTTTACCTTGAGCAGACAGGAGGAGAGAGGTGCCAGTCACCGAGGGCAGAAAAGGAGGCTTTAATTACATGTGTGAACACACTTGAGTGCAGTACCCATGGAGGACAAAGGAGGGAGCTGGATGCCCTGGAGCTATAGTTAACGTGGGTGTTGAAATTGAACCCTGGTCCTCTGGCAGAGCAGTATGTTATCTTAAGCTCTGAGTCTTCTCTGTTTCCAACACTGAATGTACTGTTTTACTGATGGTTTGACAAGGGTTGATGGTTCAGGTATAAACACTCCAGGTACACAGTGTTTCCAGTTATGCATTTTTAGATTTGTGAGTTTTCTTTTTAAGGTTTTATTACATTTTACATTCATTTATTTTGTGGTGTGTGTGTGTGTGTGTGTGTGTGTGTGTGTGCACGCATGCGCATGTGCATGCCAGGATATACATGTGGCAATCAGAAGACAACATTCAGGAGTTGGTTCTCTTCTTCCACCATGTGGGTGTCAGGGATTGAACTCAGATCGTTAGGCTTGGCAGCAAGCATCTTTATCCCTGAGCCATCTTGTCAGCCCACCTTAGAAGTTTTTAGCTTTAACACCACGCAAAAGCAATACCCATTCTGTGGAAACCATACTCCCACGTTTGAGCTTTGATTATTTACTAGAACCTGTAGCGTGTGACTCAATACTCTCCTGAGATTCTGGGCACTAGCCATGTGCCATAGCCTCTACTCTGTGGCCCAGGAATGTGAGGTGTGTAGTCCATGGCTTCTCTTCTCTTTTTCTTCTTCCTTTGTTTTAATGTGGCTATTCAATACTTTACTATAAAATAGCCATTGTGTTCAAGGATTTTCCCCTACTGTAGCTACTGTTAGTGTCCTGGGTGCATTTAAAGATATACAAGAAAGCTGAAGAGGTAGCCCAGAGGCTAAAAGTGCTCCCTGCTACTGCAGGAGACTTCAGTTTCAGCCCCCACAGCAGGCAGCTTACATCTGCCTGTGACTCAAGCTCCAAGGGACCCAATGCACTCCATGGCCTCCATGGGTACTACCCTCACCTGTTCACATACCACACACATATACACATACGTGAAAATAAAATAAAATTTAAAATATTAAATGTAGACAGGGTTCAACTTGTTACACTTTGGGTTACATGAATTAAAAGCATTGTCTTATCCTTCTTCAGCCTAGTGTATGTGTGTTTGGGTGCATGTTCATATAGTTTTTATTCAGTCTGGTTTTTAGCTCAGTACCACCTGTTTGTTTGTTTGTGTGGTTGGTTGGTTGGTTTGGTTTTTCGAGACAGGGTTTCTCTGTGTAGCCCTGGCTGTCCTGGAACTCACTCTGTAGACCAGGCTGGCCTCGAACTCAGAAATCCTCCTGCCTCTGCCTCCCAGGTGCAGGGGTTAAAGGCGTGCGCCACCGCCCGGCTCAGTACCACCTGTGAAGCTCCTCCTGCTTACACATTTACAGGTTCTAGGTGTTTGGGGCATGAACATCTTAAGGGGGCATTCTTCTTCCCATCAGACAAAATTTCTCTGACTGGCTGTTCCTTACCCTGCTCTATTGTACTGAAGCTTCTGGAAGCAGGCATCACGCCTGAATCAAGGTGCTGCATCGGTCACTCACCCTGTCCTGCCGGTATCATGAATCATAATTAAACATCTATTGACTCATTTGTTTTGTTATGTGTCTTGCTGTATACTCCTGTCAGACCCAGTAACCATGATGTAGCCCAGACTTGCCTTGAGCTCACAGGAATCCTCCTGCCACAGCCTCCCAAGTGCTGGGATTGCAGAAACATCATGCTGAGCACCCAGCAGATTCGGTTATGACCACCTTCAGGTAACGAATGATGTGCACAAGGCTGGAGATAGCTCAGTGGGTGCTTGCAAGCATGAGGAGTTGAGTTTAGATCACCAGCACCCATGTGAAACCAGGCACAGTAATGCAGACCTACAACCATAGTGCCAGGGTGGGGGCAGAGACACCTGGACCTGGCCAAAATGGTAAGCTCCAGGGTCAGCAAGAGATCCTGTCTTAGAAAATAAGGTAGGGCAACATAAAGGAAGACACGTGATACAGACTTTCGCCTCAGCATTCACATGGGTACACACACCACACACAGATGTAACACATTCATGTGCACACACACACACCACACACAGATGTAACACATATATCAAGAAGAAAAAGAAAGAGGCCATGGGCCTACATCTCTCATATCCATTCCATCTTAGAATATCCAGCAACTACCTGAGAATCTCACACATGTGTCCCTAGTACAACATAGGTGTTGGAGTCAGAAGAACTGGATTATGCTTTTGACTGGGTTTCTCTTTATGGCTTGTTACAGTAGCGCAGACTGACCTGGAACTCCTGTGTAGACCACACTTGTCTTAAACTTGTAGTCAGCCTCCTGTCTCTGCTTCTGTCACTAGTCTAGCATGGCGGCCGTGCACAAGCTTTCCCAGGGAGTCTGGTTGAGTTGCTTACTTATTTCCATCTCAGATTCACATCTATAAGCCAGAGACAAAGGTATTGTCCTGCTGAGGGAGCTAGGGAGCGGGCAGCTTGTCTTGCTGAGGGAGCTAGGGAGCGGGGGAGCTTGTTAAGTACTAAATGTTTTCAGAAAGTAGGAATGAAGGTGATTTCCACAAAAACACACATGGGAGGCCGGAGAGAGGCTCAGGGGTTAAGAGAGTGTGTTGCTCTAGCGGAAGACCTGAGTTCAGTTCCCAGCACCCACATCACACAGCTCGACACCTTTAACCTCAGCCCTAGGGAGTGATGCCACCTTCTGGCATCTGCAGGTACTACACAATATGTGTATATACCCCTACACACATACATGTAATTTAAAATTTAAAATGTTGGTGGGTGAGTAGATGTGGGGTTCCAGGGGCCCCTGCTGTTCTATCTGACTCTCTCCTTTCCCTCTTTACAGAGTCCCCTGGTTGAATCCCAGGCAGATGACAGCTCTGAGCCCCTGCCTTCCACAGTTGAGGTGGCCTCCTTCTCCACAGAGGAGGAGATACATTATGCATCACTCAGCTTTCACGAAATGAAGCCCAGGAACCCACGAGGGCAGCAGGACACTACCACAGAGTACTCAGAGATAAAGTTCCACAAATGACAGCATGGCCATGACCGTGGCTGGAGGGAGCATGGCAGCCACAGGAGGCTGGCTCTGGAGAAGGGTTTGCCTAGGTTGGCATGTGCTGCGCAGGACTTCAGAGACATTCCTTTCATGACACAGGTGTTCCGCTACTGCCCACGCCCCTGTACTGCCCTGTCCAACTGTTATCTCTTTTCCCTCCCTATACCTCTCCCTCCTTCTCTCACTCTCCCTCCCCTTCTCTCTCTTGTTTATTCAAGATAGGATTACTCTGTGCAGCCCTGGAGCCTCCAGCTGTCCTGGAGCTTGCTCTGTAGACCAGACTACACTTGAACTCGTAGAGATCCCCCTGCCTCTTCTTCCCAAGTGCTGGGATTAAAGATGTGCACTACCACCATCCAGCACTTGACTTTATTGTAATTGTATGTGTATGGATGTTTTGCCTGCAAGCACATCCATGCACCATATACATGCCTCATGCCTGCAGAGGCTGGAAGAGGTCATCAGATACTCTGGAACTGGAGTTACAGAGGGTTGTGTGTGGCCACATAGGTGCTAGGAACTGAACCCAGTCATCTGCAAGAGTAGCCAGTGCTCTTAACCACTAAGCCATCTCTCAAGTACTAAGATTGATTTTTTTAAATTTAATTTTTACTTAAAAAACTGGCATATACTTACGCAGTGATAGGTTTTGTATATTTTCTTCCAAGTGTATCACATATTTTGGTCATGCTCATCTCCTTTTCCTGTCAGCATCCTGTTAGTTGTTGGTCTCCTTTCTCTCCCCAAACACTCCCTTCACATTCAGGTTGTATGTATTAGTTGCCTCTCTCATCTTTGTTGATAGGATGCTGACAGAAACATGAAGGATGGAAAGCTTACTTTGCTCATGACTTCAGTCTATCATGGTGCTCAAGTGGGTACACGTAGTGGGAGAGCCACATCTTGATGGACCAGAAAGCAGTGGGCTCAAGACAGAACCAGACATAGACACCATCTTCTATAAGTTGGGCCACATGTCTGAAGGATTCCATGGCTTTAGAAAATACTGTGACCAGCTGGGTACCAGGTGTCCAAATATATGGGTCTTTGTGGACAATGTACATTTAAACCAAAACTAGATGGATGATAGATAGATAGACAGACAGACAGACAGACAGACAGACAGATGTATGGATGATAGAGAAAAGATGATAGACAATTTGACAGAGATGTTGCCCCACTCTGCTTTGCTATTAGGGAAGCACTAGTGAGTGTAGCTCAGAGAGAGTGCAGACAGAGGCACTGGGGATGCTGAGGAGCTGCAGAACGTGTCTTAACTTGGTTTCCTTCTTTAAAAGCAGTGCATGTACTTTGTGAGGGAAAAGTGCTTTTGAACAAAAGCATAAAGAGGAATCTAAAATAAGCAGAAACACTGGTAATACTTAACATTTTTGCAAATGTTAATCACTTGCATGTGAACATAAAACTGGACTGAACCTGTATTTGTGCTGTACATATCATACCTATCACTGTTGATTAATCTATGCTTTTGGCTTTGGTTATTTTTTTGAGACAGTGTGGTGGTTTCAATGAAAACGGGCTCATAGGGAGTGGCAGTAATGAAGGTACGCCCTTGTTGGAGGAAGTCTGTCACTGAGGGAGGGCTTTGAGGTTTCACCAGCTCAAGCCAGGCCCAGTGTCACCCTCTCTTCCTGCTCCCTGCCTATCCAAATGTAGAACTCTCAGCTTTTCTCCAGCACCATGTCTGCCTGTCTACCACCGTGTTTCCTGCCAAGATAGTAATGGACTAAACCTTTGAACTGTAAGCCAGTCTCAATTAAATGTTTTCCTTTGTAAGAGTTGCCATGGTCTCTTCACGGGAATAGGATACTGACTAAAACAGACAGGGTCACAAGTACCCCAAGGGCCTAGAACTTGCTATGTAGCTTAAGATGACCTTGAACTCCTGAGCCTCCTGCTTCCAGCTTCCAAAGCCTAGGACCACAGGCATATGCAACATACTTTCTTATATATTCATCTATATTTTTCGTGTGTGTGTGTGAAATGCTGAGTTGAGATGAGTTCAGATTCCCTGTAATTGGAGTTACAGGTGATTATGAGCTGTCCAACATGGGTGCTGGGAACCCAACTTAGGACCTTTGCAAGGGCAGTATGTACTCTTTCTCCAACCCCTGATTTGTTCTTTTTGTTTCTGATTCTATCTCTGTGCCTCTGTAGCCTTATCAGATGTAGCTGCATGGATTATTCTATAATTAGAAGAATTAGAAGGCTGCCCTGTTCCTCATTTGGAAGCCTTTCTACCAGTGTGCTTCTTAAATTTGTGTGTGGGAACCCATTTAAGCAACTGACACCAGTTGTCTGAACTTAAACTTTCTTCATTTCTCTGTCATTGGCAACACTGACCTGAGCCCTTTTGAAGAGTCAAGATTCCCTAGTATCAGAGTAAAGATGTGGAGTTGGAAACACTGGAGGGGGGAGAGGGGGTCTAGAATTAGGGCCTGGAACTCTCACATGACCCCCTTGCCCTCCCACCCCAGCTTGGCCAACTCTGAGTAGCAGATGGTTCTGCTAATCGCCAGGCTGCCTGTGATGTCACCACTCATCCAGGTCCCACAGAGAGTCTTCCGATTTATCTAGAAGCCTAGATTTCTTCAGCTCACTAAGGCTGGGATGGTTCCCTCCTCAGAATGTTCCCATTCATTCTCCCGTGTCTCCCTCGTCTTCTTGCCTGGCCAGGCTGTCCTCTAGGTCTGCTGTGGACATTTATGGCAAGTTTCTCTTGCGGGATAAAATGAGGGAAGAAGTCATAGCTTGTGTTCCTAAAGTCCTGGGAAAGAAATTGTCATAGATTTGGCTTAATGCTTGTATTATGTTAATTGGGTTCCCAAAATTGTAAAAGAATCCATACATAAGACACTGAGGGTTCCCAGTTGGTTCTGATTGGTAAATAAAGTTGCTGGCAGCCAATGGCTGGGACTTTAGAATTCATGGACAAAGGGACCAAGATAGAAGAAGGAGGAGAATCGCCATGCTGAGAAAGGAATAAGATCCAGGCTCAAGAGCAACAGAAGAGAGAGCATAACAATCATATTGGGTAACAAAGATAGAACATAGATTTTTAGTAAGTAATAGATAACTCAGAAGTACTGGAGGGGAGTCGTCAACGTGAAAGTTTGGAAGTAGCACAGCCATTGAGCTGTTTAAGACATATTAAAATAGAAGGCTGTGTGTGACTTTCATTTGAGAATCCAGAACACTGGGGTGGTGGTAAGGAGCTCTTTGCACCATCGCCACCAGGATGATTTTGAGTAGCACTAATCACTTAATGCAATAAGAAATAGATAAAGGGGCTCAACTCCTCCCTCTACACACATGCCAGTGGAAGAGATGAACCTGGGGCTTAACCTCGGTGCCTAGAGTTTCTAACATTTCCACCCATACTTTTAAATGTTCATTTATTTTAATGCCAATGGCTGGGCAGGGCAGAGAGAGGTGGTACTTTTAGAATTCTCAGAGAAAGGAAGGAGGAACAAAGAGAGTAGCAGGCATTTGCAGGAGAGGAGAGATGATGTCTGAGAAGATGGCAGGACAGAGAGGCATGGCTGCCACGTGAAGGCGCCAGGAGGGTGTGGCTTGGAGTGTGGCCCAGTTGGGCAGCCCTCTGGGTCCAGAGCAGCAAAGATAGAACACAGAATTTATTAAGTGATAACTCATGATTATCAGTGGGAGGTAGATTAACCACATGGAGGTTATTAGGAAGTGGCCTAGGTTTGTGGTATGTAGGGCATAGCAAACTATAAAGGCTATGTGTGTGTCTTTCATTTGGGAACGTAAACAGCTGGGGCAGGTAGCAGGAACCCACTAGTGGGACTGTTTACTAATTATTTATTTCTACAAAGATAGTTACTGGAAGGGGATACCATTGGAGAGAGGATTGGAAGCCCAGTCTCTTCCTTTCTCTTTACTTTCTGAGAAGCCAGAATGTATTGCTTTGGCTCGGGTCCAGTAGCAATGGGGGCAACTGACTATGAACTGAAAGTCCTGAAACTGTGAGCCAAGATTCATCTTAACTTTTATAAGTACACTGACTCAGGTATTTTGTTATAGTAACAGACGGCTGGCTGATACTATCACCACTGTCATCACTGTCACCATCCCCACCATCTACCATCACTATAACACCGTCATCTCAGTATGTACCCCTGGCTATCCTGGAGCTCACTATGTAGACTAGGATGGCCTAGAACCCACCAAGATCCACCTGCCCACTACCTCCCAAGTGCTGGAATAAAAGGTGTATGCCAGTACACCCACACCCATCTTATGTTTTAGGAGTCTCTCACTTAGAGTTTACCATTTCAGCTAGATTGGTGGTTAGCCAGTAAGCCGCTGGAAATGCCCATCATCCTCTGGTGCTGGGATTACAGGCACCCACTGCTGTGGCTGGTTTTTACATAGGTGTTGGGGATATGAATTTAAGTCTTCATTTTTCAGTAGCAAGAGTTTTACCATTGTGCCATTTCCCCAGCTCCTTTACTAGTACTTCCAATACTGAATTTCATACCAGGGAAGTTTCGGGCCCCCTAACCTGCCCTGGAGATATTTTTAGCTATGTAACCCAGAGTGGTAGCATTTAGTGCTCAGGTGGCAAGGGTGGTGCTTACCACTCTACCATGCCAAGGATAGCCTTACTCCCCCGTCTGGAACAACTAGCTCTCTAAAGTATGGGCAGTGCTGAGGTTGAGAAGTGCTTTACTCTCAGAGACCATGACTAATCCACCCTTTCGTCTTCCAGCAGTGTCTCTAGCTCCTTCATCATGAGCTCTCTCTTCCACTAGCTTCTGGTCCTGGGAATCTATTTGTCTGCTTCATAAGAACCCTGGCTGGTGTCTAGTTCTGGACAGTGTTGCCATATGTCCATGTCTTCTGGGTCATGAGGCCAAGCCCTGACCCCATGGTGTAGTTACCTTCTGAAGCAGAATAGGAACAGGGTGTAGACCAGGATTCCACACACATAGGCACTTCCCAGGGATGCCAATAGCATGAGACATATCACCAAGGATCCTGGGATGGAGAACTCCCTGTTCACGATCCTGGGATGGAGAACTCCCTGTTCACAGCGGGTGGTGGCCCTGGATGGAGAGGGCAACAGGACACTCAGGACACTCATTAAACTCATCTCTTCACTCACTGTCTTAGCCAGAGTTTCTATTGCTGTGATACAACACCATGACCAAAGCAACTTGGAGAGAAAAGGCTTATTTTTTCTTACAGTCAATTATGAAGGGAAGTAAGGATAGAAACTCAAGCAGAAATCTGGAGGCAAGAAATAAAAGCATAGGCCATGAGGATCAAGGATTACAGGCTTGCGATCTGATTTGCTCTGCTTTCTTATATAACCCAGGACCACCTGTTGTTGCCCAGGGGTAGCACCACCCACAGTGGACTGGACCCACCCACATCAGTCATTGATTAGGACAATAGTCCACATATTTGTGTACAGGCTAATATTACAGAGGTATTTTTCTCAGTTAAAATGGTCTCTTCCCAGATACATCTAGGCTTATGTAAGTTGACAAAAACCAACAAGCACACTTGGCCACCTGCTGGGAGGCAACTCCTAGCAGCCATCTTGGGCCATATATTTGTAGGTTGATACTTTTCCACCCTGACAAGAGACTTGTTTTTCTAGCATATTTTTGTAAGCAACCCACAACAGCTGAGCACACTCTGATAAACATCTTGTTTTTCTCAGACATGTCCTGGACTTGTTGTTTAGTGCCCTCAGCTGCAAGGCACTCGTGGTTAAGTGTCTCCAGCTGCACGCCCATGCTTGCGCTATATACCCACCATTGCCTTTCAATAAACGAGACTTGATCAGACAACTGTCTTGTCTTCGTTCTTCGAGTCTTTTGCCCCTCCATCTCCACTCTCTCCCTTGCAGACCCCATTGACTGACCCGCGGGCCGGGTCAGCCACCTATGGCTTCTTCGAAGGTTTGTCAGCACCCACTATGTGCAAAGCACTATAGGTACCAGGGATTCATCAATGATCAAAATTCATTCCTTAGGGCTGGCAAGCTAGGCCAGTGAGTAAAGTGCTCACCCAGCAGGCCATGTCAAGGTGGAAGAGAGAACTGACACCAGAAAGTTGGTCTTCACCCTCTGTAGGTGCGCCACTCTGTAGCTATGCATTATGTACACACACAATAAAAAGAAAATAAAGACAACCCCTTGCTCTTCTGGGATGACTTCTAGGTGGGAGGACATGATGCTTGATATTGAGAACTTGATTTTGAGTCAACATTGAGAGACACTGCTGGACAGGTCTAGTAGGAGATTTCCAGAGAGGTTTAGCTGGAGAGGATGATCCATTCCATGGGCCATGGTCCCAGACAAAATAAAAAGAGTGAGCTGAGCACCAGCACTCCGCTCTCTGTGTCCTGACTGTAGATGCAGTGTGACCAGCTGCCTCACACTTCCGATGCCATGACTTTCCTGACACACTGAGCTGTGTCGTTGTACCACAGACCGGGATAAACTCCTCCATCTTTAACCATTTTAAGTGTAGGAATGGATGCAGATGCAGGCAGTGGAGGATGGAGCGAAGGAACTAGGTCCTGTGGATAGGGACTTATCAAGGGTGTAGTGCTGGTTATACAGGGTCATTAACTCACTGAAGATGATCACAGGACACCAGCAGCATGCCAGACAGTGTAGGGACAAGCAACGAGCTAATGGCTGGACAGCCTTGCCTTCCTAAAGTTTAGTCTTTCGGAGTAGAAAACTATGTATCGGGGAGCCTCCTGAGCATGCTATGCTGGATCAGCTTCCCTGTCTTCTCTGGGGTGTGCAGGCAGGCTGGCCGCCTTTTGTGCAGTGTTCTACAGTGTTCTGATTCTCACAGCAGTCTACTGCAGAGGCGCCTGTCATAGCGCCACACATGGGGAAACTGAGTCTGGAAACGGTGAAATTCTTGCTCCTGCTTTACATTAGTTACAGGGCTAGAATTGGAATCTAAGATCCTTTGATTCTAGAGCATAGTGTGTGAGTGTGTGTGTGTGTGTGTGTGTGTGTGTGTGTGTGTGTGTGTGTGTGATGTGTTCATATACATGTGTTTGTTCATGCATATAAAGGTCAGAAGTTAACCCCAAGAGTCATTCCTAAGGTGTTATCTAACGTGAGTTTTTTTGTTTTTAATTACATCCAGTTACATGCCTGTGTGTGGATATTGGGAAATTTTGAGGGAGCCATACCTCTTCTTGTATTATTGGAGGTCTCTGGGATTAAGCTCAGTTTGCCAGGCTTGGAGGCAAGTACTTCCATTTGCTGATCCATCTTACGAGCTCACCTTGTTATTTTGGTGTATTTTGTTTTGTTCGAGACAGAATCTCACTGTATAGCCCTGCCTAGCCAAGAGCTCTCTGTATAGACCGGCTGCCCTCAGACCCAGAGACCTGCGTGCTCCCTCCTCCCAACCTCATTTCAGTTTTCAAGATAAGCTTTCTCATTGGCCTGGAGCTCTCAAAGTGGGCTAGGCTGGGTGGCCTGTGAGCTCCAGGGACCCCCCTGTCTCTGCCACCCGAGCTGGGATCACGTTTTCACCTGGGCTCTGCATGCTGACTTCCGGTAAGCACTTGACTGCATCAAGCCCCCGCTGGAGTCCACACAGCTTAGTGCCCCTCCCTTGGCTCTTTCCCTGACAATGTCACTTTCTCTCTTTGTGGAAAAATGACTGAGCTGCTAGGGAGAAACGGGGGCTTTCCTCATTTGCAAATCCGCCACAAGTTCCTCCTTTTGAAACCACAAGTATCTATTTCTACAGTGCCGAAATTCCCACCCGTCTTCCTGCTCTCTCCTGTGGGAGGTACTACACAGATGCATGGAGAACCAAGACTGTGGGGTCAGGGTCTCTTGTAAAGGATCTCTCTACTTTCCCATCCGCTATGGAGCCTTGGGTCAGGTACTCAACTACGTTTCTTTACCTGAGAGACAGAGGTGGATGGTATTGAACCACTCACTGTGCCAGGAGACCACGATGGTCACACAGACCAGGACTATGGCTGGCACATAGGAAGTAAATGGTGGCCAGTCTTGTCTCTGGTGGACTTTTCTGACTCCAGAACTGGAGACTATGCATAATTGACAGAGTGAACAGCTTTGGACAAGTCCTTAGAGGATGAGGAGGGAGGGCATCACTGAAGGGCTCGGGCAGGCCTTGCCCTTCCCCGTTTCCTCTGCCGTCCTGAATTGTTAGATAACATTCCTAAAGCTAGCCATCATGGTATATTCCCTTATTTGGTCACTTCCTCCTCCTGATGTGAGTGCCAAGGTCTAGCTATCAAAGTATTGAAGTCCAGAGATCAAAAGCCCCTTTTGGCTCACCTAATTAACATGGCCAATGAAAACAAACCAACTCATCCTAACACTGGACTTCCCTTTTTCCCTTTATAAACTGTCATTTGTTTAAGGACCACATCGGTTTCCCTTCTATCCAGAGGCAGTCCTTTGTCCTCTGGAGCAAATACCCCTTTTCTTTCTCCCCCTTGTTCCTTTTCCCTTCTCTCCCATTTTCTGTCACCCGTCTTTGTCTCTTATTCTCCTTCCCTTTGTCTTTCTGGGGCAAAGATGTCTCCTTTGTGCTGAGGAGTTGGTTCTTGGTGTGTCCTATGCTGGTCCTTTCCTGTCACCAGAAGCTGGGAGTGGGGTGCAGCAGTAGAGGGGACTCCTGCCTAGACAAACAACACATGGGATGCAAAGGCTCCAGAGCTTGGTAGTGAACTCACGAGGTGGCTGGATGGTAACATCTCTGTAGAAGGCTAGCTGGGTCTCCAGGCTCTCCACAATACACCGGTAACTGCCCATTTGTTCCCAGGACAGACTGGGGAGGGTCATGTTCCCCTCTGAGATGCTGGGGAGGGAGCCATTATTTATCCAGTGGTACCTGGGTCCTGACCTGGAGAAAACAGTTACATTTCAGCTGCACACTGGAACCAGTAACAGCAGTCAGCACACCGTCAGAGAAATCGGGCTGGGTCCACAGTGACACATAGTCTGGTCCATCTGCAGAGAGAGGGAAGGAGACCACAGCTACACTTATGGCCCCTTGGGATGGCACCTCGTCCAGAAGACACATGGTGTCCCTCTATGTGCAGTGAGCCCACTTCAGGGGACAATGGAAACAGTAAAGGTAGCTTCTGCTCTGAGCTCTTGTGGGCTAAACTTTGGTCGGCCTACATGCTATATATAGTAAACAGCTATAGCAGAGCAGAAAAGCTCATCACACCAACCGTGTTACAGGAAGCAAGCTAGGCTCTGAATGTATAGCACAGTGTGTAGTCCACAAAACTCACTGCTATGAGATATAAAGTAGGGGTGGCAGGAGTAAGGGACTGCCTTGGAGGGGCAGGGGGCTGCCCCCTGTGATTTCCCTGAGAAATCATGGCATGCAACAGATCTGGTATAAGGGAGGTTTATTGTGGAGAGGGAGCAGAGGGGCGACCTGGAGAAGGGGTAGGGACAGACAGAGCCAAGAGGGCAGAGAAAACGGGGATAGAGAAAGAAAGGACGAGAAGATGGCCAGGAACACATGGGAATAGAGAGAGAAAGAGGTGGGAGGGAAGAGGAGAGGGAGAGAGAAGGCTGGAGTAATCGTCAGTCTTTTTCATACACAAGTGAATTGCCACACCTGGCGACAGGTGATAACTCAAGCTATTGCTAGGTCACTGTTGCTAGGTCCCTGGGAGGAGCCTAGTGGAACTGTCTGTTAACCAACACTCATGTCATTTGGTCCGTAAATGTTTCATCTTACAGATGCAAATCTCAGAGGAGAGGAAGAGGGTTCAAGAGCCCTGTTCATACAACAGCACCAACTAGTTAGGGCTTAGCCATAGTCTAGGGGACCTCAGTCTTGGTTCCAACCTGAAACCCATAAATGGCAGCACGGAGGTCAGGGCGTGTCTGTCCAACTGTGAATTAGTTTTCTTCAGATGGTGCCACAGAGTCCATTTTAGGAAACAGGAGGACCACTGAGCAGTTCCTAACTAAAACGTGAAAATTGTTTGCTGTGTCTGATTGTGATTTTCAGCTGAAATTGAATGTAAGAAACAGCTGGGTGGTGAAAACTCACGAGTTGGTGTTTGTGAGTTCCTCGTGTTTATTGGTGGTGTTAGTATTGTGCTTGGGGTCATGTGGCTTCATGCACGTGGGAGGAGCTCCGCTACTGAGCCACACCCCACCTCCTCTCTGGGGGATTCTATTCTGAGACCCTATCATTGACCTGTCTCTCACACCAAGATTAGTCAGTGTGATTGGACTGAGAATAAAAAGTGAAGGTAATTTTTCTAAGAAAACAACAAAATTAGTGAACAGATTTGAAAGTTTCAGAGAGTTAACTAAATATTAACCTAAACATAAGTGAGGAAGAAGAGATGGCTCAGCAGCTAAGAGTGCTTGCTGTTCTTGCAGAGGACCTGAGTTTGGCTCTCAGTGTTCCACTCACATCAGGCAGTTCCTAACTGCCTGTAATTCCACCTTTGGGAGATCAAACACCCTCTTTGGCCTCTGTTGGCACCCACATATACATGGCATATACTCACACAGATGTACACACATACACATAAATAAAAGCAAGTAAGAAAGGTAAACTTGTGATCTGAAATGAAGAATAAAAAATCGATTGTAATCTCTCTGTCTCTCTGTCTGTCTCTCTGTATGTTTGTGTGTTGGAATCATACATATGTGCATGAATGCGTGGGCACAGATATGATTTACATGTGCAGCTCAGAGGTCAATATCACAGGCATTCCTCAATCACTCTCAAGGCATCTTTACTTTTTTATTTTTTTATTGAGACATTTGTTTTCACACACTATATTCTGATTATGATCTCTTTTCTTTCAACTTCCCCCAGATCCTCCCCACTTCCTTACATACCCAACTCCATGTTATTTTTTCTTTTTCTCTACTAAAAAGGAACAAAGCAAACAAACAAATGAAACAGAAGAAGCATCTCTCTGACATAGAATTCATCTATTCTGGCTAGGCTGCCTGGCCAGTGAGCCTCAGCAATCTGCCTCTACCCCACTGGTCTTGGGATTATAGGCACGCACGCACGGCTACATTCAGCATTTATGCAAATGTCAGGGATCCCAATTCAGGTCCTTGTTTGAGGACATCCATTCCCAGCCCCACTTGCCTCTCCCAACAAAACAAACAAAACAAACAAACAAACAAAACAAACAAAAAAAACAGGTCTCAATAAACTCATACTGGCCATTTCTAATCTAAGAATGGGGACTGTGTCCCTCTCCTAAAATCCAGCACCCCATGGGGAGGGCAGTCATGAACCCACAGAGCTAAATACCCAGAGCTGGATATTAACCACACCTAGCTGGCTGCAGGCTGGCTCAGCCATTTTCCTGGATACGTACTAGAGTCTACCGCTGGCTTCCCTCCCACTACCATGTGTACTCACAAGCCACAGTCAAGTGAATCATCTCACTTCTCTGGAGTATTTCTGGGATATCTTCTATGGCACACTGAAGATTGTGGTCGGAACGACTGACTCTGTGGATGACCAGAGTCTTGCCATCCGGGGAAATCGTCATGTGGTCACTGCCTGAGGTTGGTACAGAGATCACATACCACTTGATGCTCGAGGAGTTGGTAAGACATTTGGCAACCATGGAATCCACGCCTTCTACCAGGGCGCTGGTATTGGCTGAGGCATTGGCTGAGATGCCTGGATTGCTTCTCAACTCTAGGTGAAGCAGAAAGAACAGGTCAGGTATAGTGTTAGCTTCTTTAAGCTTTGGGGCAATTGAAGAGATGTGGAGAGCCCTAATGTAAGGCAAAAGAGAAGCCCCAGCACTGAGAGTGGCAGAGGAGGGAGTGGTGGGGAGCAGGCTGCCCATTCCTGGGCAGGGCCTGAGCCATTCTGTACAACTGCAATAACAGCAGGTTCTTGGTCATGACAAGGTGGCCTAATGGTTGTTTTTCCCTCTGTATGTCTACGTGCATTGTATATGGAACATGTTGTTTATGGATGAGAATGCTAACACATGCCACACATGCACTGAGCACTTGTCACCTCTGTGTACCCCAGGTTAGCTGAAGGTTGTGGTTATAACCTTCCATGGTTCCAGTAGGAGTGCTTGAAATTACAGATGTATTCCACACCCCCAGTGCTCAAACTCAGATCTTCAAGCTTTCTTGGCAAGTGCTTTACTTACTGATCCATCTCCCCAATCTTGTCACCTACTGCTCCCTGTGCCAGTAGTTGTAAAGTCCAGGACCCTCATCTGAGGAGCTGGGACAGGTGGCTTTGGAACTAGTCATAATAATTAGATCCATTGTCCGAGTTTCATTTGATTCACCAAATTCTCTCCAAACATACAGAAAACAAATGGTAGACATTTGCCCTTTCTACAGCTAAGGCTCGGGTTCACAGAGTACAGACTAAGAAACACAGTGTATAGACTTAGAAATAAGCACAGGGCTTCCTGTCCTCAGAAAACTACATTCTCCCCTTGGTCTTAGGACAGTAGTGGGAGCTGTCACCAGTGGGCAGATCTCCAAGGCAGCCATGCTACTTTCTCCAGGCCTGGAGTGAGTATCACTGTCGTGAAAGGGATGGCTATAATGAACTACAAAATACTTGGCCCTACAATTATGGCAACTAAAATAACAAAATGATAGCTAAGTCTATGATTATACAGACATCAGGAAATAACTGAATCCTCAAGCCCAGAGGAGGGTAGCAGGAGGTTCTTCCCTAGGGAAGTCTCTGTATGAGAACAGTCTTTACTATGGCCTTGTGAGACTCAGAGGACTCAGCCAGAACAGTGCCCAAACTTCTGGCCCACAGAAGACACTCAATAATAAGCTAGTACATGACTGTGGTTCTAGCACTCAGGAAGCAGAGGCAGGAGAACTGAAAGTTCTAAGCCAACTTGGGCAACATAACGAGTTCTAGCTAGGGATTTAGGTCAGTGTCTAGAATCCCCAGGGGGTGGCTAGGGTGTGGCTGGCTGGGGTGTGGCTCAGTGGTAGAGTGATTGCCTAGCATATGAACATGCTAGGCCCCATTCTCAGTACTACAAAAATAAATAAAATTAATTATTTTGTTACTATTTGTTTGTTTTTCAAGACAGGGTTTCTCTGTATAGCCTTGGCTGTCTTGGAACTTGCTCTCTTATAGAGATCTGCCTGCCTTTGCCTCCCAAGTGCTGGGATTAAAGGCATATGCCACCACTGCCCACTGTTTTTTGTTTTTTGTCTTTTGTTTTTTAAAAACTCTAAATAGCAGTTCTCAACTTGTGAGTCGCAGCCCCTCTGAGTGGTCACATATCAAATATCCTGCATATCAGATATTTACAGTATGATTCATAACTGCAGCAAAGTTAGTTATGAAGTAGCAATGAAATAATCTTATGGCTGGGGGTCATCACCACAACATGAGCCGCTGTATTAAAGGGTCACAGCATTGGGAAGGCTGAGAACCACTGCTCTAAAGTACGGATGTTACACAACAGCGGAAAATAAATACTCTCTTTAACAAGTGAACTGAGTCCTTGCAGAGTGACCCATCTCTGCAGGAAACGCCTGAGAGCCACCTTCAAGGCTGCCAGGGTCACTTTCAGGCAACAGAGACACTGGAGGGCATGCCCTCCAAGGAATCTCCCTATTGGAGCCCTTAGGACAAGCTTCCTTTTTTTGCTGGGGAAATTGGTTGCCTTGCCAACTCACTTAGGATCTCGAGCCAGCCAGTTGCTTTCGGTTCCGTTGCTAGTGTCGACTTTGACAGTATATTAGCCTGTGTCATTTATCGCTGACATCCTCACCACCAGGCTACCTGTACGGGTCACGTTCTCACGTCCACTGTACAAGGGTCCAGGGTGCTGAGTACTGGGAGGTTTATAGCTGAAAATCATGTTTGCGGTACTGTTGTTGGTGCCCTGATACCAGCTGTACTCCAGGACATCTTCTGGGACATTTTCTAGGGTCAGGATGGTCCGGTATTTCTCCACTCCTATGAGTGAGTCTGGGATGATGATCTGACCAGAAGCCTGGCAGATCCCACAGGTCAGCAAACTGGCTGAGGAAACCAAAGAGGGGGGAGAGTGGGGGGGAGTAAGGGAGAGGAGGAAAGTAGGGGACGAGGACCAGGTAATTACTTTACAATTGTGTAACTCTCAGAATTTGAATCTTTTATGTCTCTCATGGGCTCAGATTTTGAATGCTTGGTCCTGTGCTGGTGGCACTATTTTGGGAGGCTGTGGTCTTTTGGGGACAAGGTATTAGTGGTAGAAGCAGGTCCCTAAAGGTAAGCCTGTAGAGCTCACACCCAGCCTCTGACTCCTGCCCTGCTCCATGCTCCTGGCATGTGCTGTGGTGTGAACAGCTTCTACCACACCCTGCTGCTGCAGGAGCTGAACTGCCGTTTCACCATTCCCCTCCCCGCCAGACTGAAACAAGAGCCAGCAAATCTTCCCTCTCCTGTTCCCATCAGGAACTGCCACGGTGATGCCAAAGTAACTCATACTATAAATAAAGAAGTCCCAGTACAGCTGGGTCTAGAGTTGGCTTCGTGGTTAAGAGCACTCACTGCTCTGGCAGAGGACCTGGCCTTGGCTCCCAGCACCCAGAGTGGGTGACTTACAACTATTGTAACTCCAGCTTCGGGGGTCTCTGATGCCCTTTTCTGGCCTCCATGGGTACATGCATACATGTGGTGAACACAGATACATTCAAGCACACACATACATACACATAGAATAACATACATCGTTAAGAGTTTCCAGTTGAGGAGAACGAGAGAAGGGAAAATGGAGGCGGATGTTCACGTGTCTCCCGCTGTCAAAGGTATATCTAGGTATATCTAGGTTGGGTATTGGGTTACACCTCTGATTGAGTGGACATATTGTTATTAATCATTACCAAACATATAAAGCCTTTAATTAATCTTAAAAAAAAAGTTTCCAGTTGCGCACTGACTCCCCCCCCAACCTGTCCTTGTCTCATCCACTCTCTCCTTATCCTCCCTCAGCCCCACCCACTTCCTTTGTTACCCGCCCCCCCAACTCATCCTTCACATGACAGACATGTGTATCTCAATAAAACACAAGATGTGACCTTGCCCTCCTCTGTTCTGTGACCTTCTATGTATGCTGCTCCCCATCTCCACACACAGACCTCGGTCCCACTCTCCCACGTTCAGCCTCCTGAGAGCTCACTTCTTCATCCGTAGCTGTGATGTCTCCGGACCAGTCTGCCAGGTGTCTCCTCTGGGCTTCCTGGCATCCTACCCTTGATCACTTAGATTTTTAGTTTGAGGGCAGACCTGTGAGGCACATGGCTGTGCCAGTCAGCACTGGGTAGATAGTTCTCATGACCATCTAGGGAACAAATGCAGGGAAGTCTCTCTGAGACTGTCTGACCCAATTTTGATTGCATATCTGAATTCATTGAAGCGGGTGTAGATAGGGTAGGACTTGTTACCACCGTAGACACAAGTTGGAATCCCCTACTCTGTAATGCCTGAGGTTTGACTACGGGGGAGGTAAAGGTACCTGAGATCCCACTCCATACTGCAGGGTGAACACTGACATATTCAAGGCCAGTATCTGATCCTAGCACATCACAGTAGTTGTGTCAGGGAACATAAAGGGTCCTGGAGAAGAAGGGGGTTAGAAAGGGACCCAGGCTGGGGAGGAAGAGATTCCAGATAGATAGGGGAACCCCAAGGAACACAGAGTCATTGCAGGGAGGTGGGGTCCAAGTTCACCCATTTACTTGGCAGATAGATATGACTGAATTCTTTCTCTCTCTTCCTCCCTCCCTCCCTCCCTCTCCCCCCTCCCTCTCTGTGTATGTGATGTGTGTTCCTGCTGTGGTTGTGTGTATGCATATGTTGTGTGTCTCATCTGTCTGTGTCTCTATGGGTGTGAGATATACCCAGATGTACGTGCTCATGAAAGTCCTGGTGAGGGCCCTGTTTCCAGCTCTCTTCCTGCTGCTTACATCATTGGGCTTCTGAGCTGTGCCTCAGCAGATCTGTTTCCTGCTCCTTCTGAGCTTCCCTCCCCTCAGCCTTAGAAAGCAGGTTCTCTTCCTTCTTACCCACAAGGGTGAGCCACCTCCAGGGGCTACAGCTAGGCCCCGGGAAGGTTCATGACCTTCTGAGGTCCTCTGGAACTTGGCAGGATCTGCAACGTCCCAGCCCTGGCCTCCCCGCTTCAATGTGGCTCCTCCTAGAAAGAACTCTGGCCGGCAGTGAGGGTGGACCTATGGCTGCACTTCTTATCTTTACGGTTCTATGTTGTCCTCCAGCACTTGCTTATCTAACTTCTATACCTATTAATATTTTTTATGATTATGATGTAAGCAACACCAGCTTCTTGCTAGTTTTCAAAAACTGGGAAATACAGAAAAGCAGTTACAAAGACAAGAGTCATGTGTCTTTTGGTTCTTTGATTTTTTTTTTCTCCAGTACTGGGGATGGAACACAGGACTTTGCATGCTAGGCAAACGCTCTACCATTGAGCTATATACTCAACCACAAACAGCATGTGTGTGTGTGTGTGTGTGTGTGTGTGTGTGTGTGTGTGTGCGCGCACGCGCGTGGTTAGACGATATGAAGGAATATGTGGGTCCTAGGTATTAAACTCAGGTCATCAAGTTTGGTGGCAAGTACTCTGAAAGCAAAAGCCCATTACATTTTAATGTATGCCTGCTTTCCATTTTATCTGGCATTCATGTTCTGGACTGTGATTAATCTCTTGATTGCTTTGTCTCTGTTTATGACTATGCTCTTTCTACAGAATAATTTTCCATGGCATACTCCATCATGTTCTTCACTGGATCATTTTTAAAAGCCTGCACTAACTCCATTCAAGTGAAACTTCATGAAGCCACACGCACACAAGACATATCTGGCAACAAACGCTACATGATGGCTTTTCTCCTTTTAAAACAAAGGAAAAAATTCCTATCATTTAAGGCAGTCATGGAAACGGCCCAGGGCAAGGCATGCCTTTGTTCATGCTGCTGGTGTAAACAGACTATAGTTTGTTTTCTACTCTGGTGATATAAACACCATGACCAAAAACTGTTGGGAGCCGACTCCGAGCAGAAAGCGGCTATCATCTTTGCAGCCATCTCGAGCCATATACCCTAACAAGAGACTTGTTTTCAACAGCCTACAACAGCTGAGCACACTCTGAAAATTTTCTTGCTTTTCTTACATATCTTGTTTTGTTGTTTAGTGCCCCAGCTGCAGGGTGCACGTGGTAAAGTGTCTTCAGCTGTGTTCCCCTGCTTGTGCTTATATACACCCATGATTTCCTTTCAATGAAGGGGACTTGAACAGATTCTCTGTCTTGTCTCCATTCTTTGCGTCTCTTGCCCTTCCATCCCCACTCTCTCTCTTGCTAGACCCTGACCCACAGACTGGAGCAGCAGCTTGGTCGGGACAAAGTGGCCCCCAAACGTGGGGCATAACGGGCCGTTACAAAAAACAACTTGGGGAAGAAATAATTTATTTTAGCTTACAACTCTCAGGTCACAATCTACCACTGAGGGAAGTCAGGGTGGAAGTTTGGAGGCAGGAACTGAAGCAGAACCCTTGAAGAAAAGCTGTTTAATTACTTGCTTCTCATTGGTTGCTCAACCTGCTTTCTTATACAACCCAGGACCACTTGCCCAGAGGTGGAACTACCCACAGTGAGCTGAGACTTTCCATATCAATTATTAGTCAAGAAAATGTCCTACAGACTTGCCTAAAGGCAAGGTACCTCACTCGGTACCTGAGAACTCTGCAGTGAGTACTGAGGCTTGGATGAGGATAACAACATTGCCGCCACATAGGGGGTCCTAGTGGCGAGGGAGGGTGTATGTGGACTTGGGAGAAGATATCTAAACATATATACATACATACATACATACATACATACATACATACATACACACACACACATACATACATACTTAAATGCTGGCTAGACCGTATACTCATACAAATGAATGAGCAAACATTATCAGATATGACAGATAATGTGTATTACTTGCTTTCTGGCACTTACAAAAATATAACACAGGGAAATGATTGCTACAATTTCCCACAAACTTTGCAATAATTTAGTAAACATATACCTCAAACAAGTAACTACAGAAAGACTGATCTCAAATCATTATTCAAGATTTCTTTATATGACAATAGTCCTTTAAAAGTCTAGTACAGGGCCAGGGAGACAGGGCTCAGGCAGTAAAGCCTTTGTGTCACATGTGTGAGGACCCGAGTTTGACCCCACAGGACTTAGGTGAAAGGCCAGGAATGACACATCTGTAGTGATGCTGAGAAGGGAGTTGAAGACCAGTGGGTCTTCAGAGCACATGGCCACCTACGTTAACTACTTGAGGAAGGTTCAGGCCAAAAAGAAACTCTTATCTCAATCAAAAGAAGAACGGTGTCTACAAGTGCCTAAGAAATGACACTTGAGCTTGCTGTTGACATTTCTGCTTGCAGACACACATCCTCTGAACATAGTCATCATCAGAGCAGCTGTGATCACACTGAAATGACCCGTGAGGTTAGACCTGCTATCTCTTTATAGTGTTCCCTCATCGGAGGGGTGTGGAAGGCCATCAGTCTCTCAGCTGATATCTCAAACGCTCCTTCCTGAGTCTGCAGCCTCACTGTCTTGGAAGATACTACAGTAGACTATGGTAGACTAACTAAAGGGATGCCATGTATGCAGTTACGGGCAAGTTGTCACCCATGCTGGGCTGAGACTTTTAAGTACTGTGGCTGCCTTGGGGTCACCCAGGCTCCTGAAGGTATCCCTTACTCATGTTCTGCAAGTATGCCCAATAAACTCACCAATTCCTAAGTTGGGCTTTGGTGGAATACTTGAGACGGGGTAGATATTTGTTTTCTCAAGAAAGGTTCTCATATTATACAAGAACCCTCACACCCAGACTAACAGCATCGCATGAATGTGGGTATTTGTACTTCTTACAAATTCTTTATTCTTTTCCTCAGGTATAATAACTTGTGTGTTTAAAATAAGCAATGCATAGCTATAATTAGGTCTCTTTATTTTACAACATGGCTAAGGAATTGACTTTGTGGTAAAGCCTTTCACATGATCAGTATCTATAGGGTCAGGTCTACTGAAATCTGACTTATGTTTGAAGGACTTTCTGCATTCAAAACCCACCTCAGGTTTCTCTGCACAGAATAAAAGATGAGAGCCTTCAGCTGTTGAAAAATTTCCCCGTCAAGGACACTTTCTTCTGTTTCAATTTGATGATGTTCCTTCAGCTGATATGTGTGATGGAACAATTGCCCACACACGCACAGTGCTCCTAAGGATGCTCAGCAGTGTGAGTTTGTTGGTGAGAGTACAACTGTGACTTGTGCAGGAAGCCCTTCCCACATTTGTGACAGGCAAATGGTTTTTCACTATGAGTTCTACGATGTGCTTGTAATGAAGATCTTCCACCAAAAGCTTTCCCACATTCAATGCACACATAGGGTTTCTCACCTGTGTGAATTCTTTGGTGCTCACTCAGTTGGGCTTTAGAAGACATGGCCTTCCCACAGTCGCTGCATATGTAAGGCCTCTCCCCAGTGTGAATTCTTTGATGTGTGCTGAGTACAGAACTGTGGCTGAAGGCCTTCCCACAATCAGGGCATACATAAGGCTTCTCACCGGTGTGTATTCGGTTATGCACTTTAAGGTGGGACTTTCTCCTGAATGACTTCCCACAGTCACAGCATTTGTAAGGTTTCTCACCAGTGTGAATTCAATGATGCACAGGCAGGTGAGATTTATTACTGAAAAACTTGCCACAATCTCTGCACTCATAGGGCTTCTCCCCTGTGTGAAATCTATTATGCTTCTTCAGATCTGATGCATAAACAAACAATTTTCCACAGTGGCTACATGTGTAAGGCTTCTCCCCAGTGTGAATTCTCTGATGCGTGGTGAGGACTGACTTTTGGCTAAAGGCCTTCCCACAGTCAGAACACACATAAGGCCTCTCACCTGTGTGTATTCGAAGATGGACCTTTAGGTGGGATGCATAACTGAATGACTTCCCACAGTCATGGCATCTGTAAGGTTTCTCCTTTGTGTGAGTTTCATCATGTGCTTGCAGGCCGGATGTACTGGTAAGTGATTTCAGACAGTCAGGACATTCATAACGTGTCTCTCCTCTGCTTGTTCCTGGATGAAAACTCAACTCAGATTTCTTAAGAAAGGATTTCCTACATATGTGGCAAATAAAATGTGTCTCTATGGTGTTAGTTGTTTGCTGCTGACACAAAGCTGACCTGGCAGTAAAGACCTTCTCACATTTGGTATATCCAACTGGTTTGCCCTGAGAAAGAATTCCATGCTGCATAAATGGTTGCTTAGGGCTGAAAACATTTGCACACTGGTCACCCCTGCGTGCTTTCCCTCCTGTGCTGTGTGCAC